TTTTTGTGTCATTTAGATTCAAGTTTATTTCCATTGCTTTGCTTTTCATTGTTATCGCACTTCGATTAAGTTCAATTTCAAGTCTACTTTATTTTATCGTTCTTATTGTTCTTATCGCTTTTATTTTCATTCTCGCTTTATTTATTGCTTTGATTTATTTTATCGCACTTCAATTCTTGTCTTTACGTTTTTTGCACATTTAGTTTAATTGCACTATTTTTACTTAAAATCCTAAAAATCATAAAAACATCCGTACGAAACCTAACCATCCTCGAGCCCGAGGAAGTGAAAGAACCTAGGCCAAGAGGAGGTTCCTTGCTTGGCTGATCAATCGTTTGATAAGAAGTTAGAAGCGCAACACATCCATCTACTCACATTCCATTCAAGCCCAAATTCGGGGCTTGGTGGTGGCACGCCCCGCATCCAAAAGAAGAAGGACCAAAAACTCCTTCAATCGGCCTACCCGGCCGAAAAGAGGGAAACAGAAGCACAGCAAATTATGCAGGAAATTCATGCTGAAGAATGTGGCGAACACCAAGGAATGAAGAGGCTTCATCGGCAGCTGCTGAATATTGGTTATTATTGGCCTACCATGAAGAATGACGCTTACAACTTCGTAAAGAAGTGCCACGCATGCCAAGCCCATGCCAATTTAAGCCATAAGCCTCCCATGTTGTTACAGGACATGCGTACTCCTTGGCCTTTCCACATTTGGGGGCTTGACTTGATCAGAACTATCCACCCACCTTCTGACGGCTATATGTGGATCCTCACAGCCACTGAGTATTTCACAAAGTGGGTTGAGGCAGTTCCTCTTCGAAAGGCCGTGGGGGCTGCCATTGCAAATTTCATCCGTGAATACATCGTATGCAGATTCGGAATCCCATACAAGATCGTTACCAACAATGGTACCCCATTTGTTAACAAGCAAGGAAGCTCGACACTTAGCGGCTATGGTGTCAAGCATCGTCATTCCACGCCAAATTACTCGCAAGGAAATGACCAAGCAAGGAGACCTCGTGCTAAAAGTTGTCGAGCATGTGAGAAGGCAAATATCGGGACCTTCCAAGTTTGCCCCACAATGGGAAGGACTGTTTGCAATCAAAGAGGTCTACATCAGCAGCTATTATCGCTTGGTCTCTGAAGGCACGCTAACGGATCTCATCCATGGGAAGTGGCTCAAGCCTTACTACTGCTAAGTTAATTTTATGCCCAGCACTTTTATTATCGTATTTCCTTTTGTTTTAGAAATGAACTCCTTCTGTCTTACCTTCATATTTAAAAAAGAAAAAAGAAAAAAAAGGAGACGCTTTTGTGTGATGCACCATCATGGTAGCAGGGGCTGTGCAACGAGAACGAAGGATTATTTTAAATATATATATATATATATATATATATATATCTCTGAAAATTTTACTTCTATGTATCTTAAACCTCCTTTACATTAGAACAAAAACAAAACACGCTACTTAGCAGTAAAACATGCCAAGCAAAGCCACTTGGATGGGGTTCCTAACTATCGACAAGCATCAGGCCCAAGCAAAATAACATGGAGTAGGCAAAGCCAAGCCATTACAAAAAGGCATGCGTTCCTGAGATACCGGAACAGTGAAATTGCTATTCTCTTTTGATAAACAACCAGAATATGCAAAGCGACTGGGAAGTTTGCAAAAACTTAGCAAAAGCCATGCATATACTAAGTCTGACCCTTTTTACGCATGACAAGAAGGTGTTTTTCAGGCCCAATGGCTAGGCAAAATTTTGGCAGCATGTACCTTGTTTTAAGGACATCCAACCTGTCAAAAAAAAAATAAAAAATCTCACGCAATTCACAAAAACAAACTCTGCCAGCCAAGCAATATATGCATATATATATATATATATATAGGACATGCAAATTACAACATGCCTCAAGCATTCAGAAACTAATACAAGCTCCGGTGATTCAATATTACATTACAAATTCATAACGACATAGTCGTTAGAGTGTTAAAAAAAAAAAACTACAGTCAAGACGAGATAAAGCTACACATGCTAAAGACCCACGCATCCTATAGTCTCAAAGGGAACAGAACCATGCGCCAAGATGATCGATCACCCAGCCAAGGAAGGACAACCTGCAAAAAGAAAGAAGGCATGTGTCAAGACTAGGTGATACTGGAAGGCGTAGCCCGATAAATAAATAAAAAAGGGAAGAGGAATTATATGCCTTAAAGCTATGAAGAATGCCCGAAAAGAACGGAGGAAGCCCTAGGAGATGATCTAGCTGTTGCCTCCGTCACACACTCAGCATTATCGGCGGAAATACCCTTAGCAAGGAGGAGGGCATGCACCTCCCAGCACTGGTTCTCCAATTCCTGCTGCTTAATGTTCAAGGTGCCGGCAGCTATGTTGGATGTGACTAGGAAAGGAGGAGTAGGAGGTGGCACTGCTGGAAGTTGTGGAGAGGTGCCAGCAGTTGTGTTGGGCGTGCCCAGGCAAGGAGAAGTAGGCGAGCTGCCAGCAGTTGTGTTGGGCGTGCCCAGGCAAGGAGAAGTAGGAGGCAGCGCTACTGAAGCCGCGAAGAGGTGCCGGCAGCCGCATCCGCTGTCCCAAGAGGAGGAGCAAGAGGTGGCACTGCTGGAAGGTGAAGGGCAGTGTCGGCAGCCGCATATGATGTTCCAAGAAATGGGATAGGAAGTATATCCTCCGCCCCTTGTGGAGTGCTCTTGACCTAAAAAAAGGGGGAAGGGGCAGGAAGGAAAACAAGTCAAAATGACAAATGGCACGCAAGGAAGCAAAAATCAGGGCATAGAAGATGAACAACAAAGCAATGGGTACCTTGCCGACAGCTCGCAGGGTGTCAGTGATAGCAGCCGGAAAGCTAAGGTTAGCCTCTGGTGGGCAGTCCACCGTGTCTTTGACAAAGGACATGACTTGCAGAAAAGAGGCGGGTTACGAGTCGTGAGCTACAGCAGCCAGCATACAACACCCACATATCAAGCAAAACAAGCAAAGCAATTATACTGGTATAGTGTTAACTTGCTGCTCACGGTTGATAGCAAACCTAGGAGGTATGTCTGAGTTAGCTGGTTCCTCCAAGTGAGTGTAGGGATCCGGATAGGTGCCTTCATCATGTCTATAATATTGGTCCTCGTCGAGGTCCTCATCTGTGCCACTTGTGCTGCGAATGCTCCCTTGCTCACGGGCACTAATCCTAGTTTCTATATCATCTTCGTCACTTCCGTCGTCATCATCCTCAATTGTCACTACTACCTTAGGTCCTGAGTCTTCACCCTCGCTTTGGCGAGTGCCAGCGAACCGTGTTTGAAGTATACGCATGCTTCGGCGCTTTGGGACCGCGGGGGCTTCCTTGCCTTTGTCTTTGATTTGGGGAGTACCTGTAAAACAAAATGGAGGCGAGAGATATTTGCCATGTCCTCAAGAGTGGGAGTAAATTCCCCCATGGACATACAAAAGTGTGGGCAGCAGTACTCCACCTCCTAACCTCATGATGGAGCATTTTTGCTTCGACGTGAATGTCCCACAATTTGGAAAGGAAAATGGCTTCAAGAATCTGTGCCTTGCGTAAAATATCACAAGTAGATGGGTCTAGCAGCTCTCGATCAACCCATTCCGAACAACTTTTACTAATGCTGCAAGGATACTGAAAGAATAAGGGGACAGCCGAAAATAGACCTTTCTCAATACAGCACCTGGATATGGAAGCAGGGTCAATTACGGGGACAGTCTCAGGCAGTGGCTCATTGCCAACAACAGGATTCTCACAAGCTTCTTCGAGCGGCAAGAGGGGCCCTCCTACTTTGAGGTTGTCATCCAGGGAGTAGAGGTGGTCCATCATGATTGGCGGAAGATGAGTAGATGCCATGATAAAGGTCACTGAGTCACAGATATCTGCAAAAAAGGAGGGGGAACGAAATGCATAAGTTCCGGCACCTTCACGAATAGCCTGGAGACTCAGATTTTCACCTTTCTCAAAATAGGGGGGGGGGGGCAGAAAAAAAGAAAACACGCACACGCATATGCACGTCTCCATCATTCCTACAGCTTCATGCCAATACTTGTAGAAGGGTGAAGCCAATGCATTTGTACAGTTGCATCCGCAGAAAAAAAGAAGTTAATTGATTCAAGCACCGAAGAGAACCCAAATCACAGAGGTCGATTATTTAGAGGGGCCATGAACTCGTTATTCCTAAATAAAAGCAAGGGCATTCGATACATTGCACGCTTATGCTTTTTCTACCTTGCTTTGACATCATCTAGAGATTTTGTGTTCGATTAGGACAAATTGGCACTTAAAATCCCTAATCAGTGGTGCATATCCAAAATTCAAGCTTGGGTATAAAAATCAAACGAACAGGCAGCAAAAGGGAAAGAAAAAAAGGGGGAAACATTCTTCTCATGAAGGATTCTTAGGATTTATGATAGAGAAGCGGGAGAAGAAATAGAGGAGTAAGGCTTACCACTGCCCTCGATGGTGCTTGTTCCAGCAGCTTGCCGGAAAGCAAGGAAAAAGGAACCGTCTCGCAATCTTCTCTCCGAGTCGCTCCACGCTCTGCGAAGGGACCTTTTTAAACCTGACTTTTGACGAATTGAAGGAGAAGGTCGAGAAACTTAGGGTTTTTAAAGGGGAATGGTGGCCCCTCTCAGTGGTTGCGAACGGTTTCACTGTGCATAACCGACTGGTGGTTATGGAGGGTGTCTTTTAGCGATTTCTTGTCTCGAAGGGTCTCCAAGCCTGAGCATGATGGAGAACCAGTAGAATCAAGAGAGGAAAATAAGAGGTCTTGGTTGTGCAAGTACGGAAGGAGGAAATCAAGGATGAAGAAAGAAAAGAAAAAGAAAAAGGAGAAACAAAAGGTGAATGAAATAAGACAAAGCTGGATGAAAGCGCTCGCCTGGGGAGCGTGAAAGACTACTGGAAGACAATCATAGCAGCACACATGCGGGAAACGAGAAGGTCATGTCATCAACGTGGATTTGATCTTTTTTGGGCTGGGTTTGATTATTTGGCCCATCTCAATATCTGCTCATGGCCCCAATAATCAAGGTGGCTAATGTTGAGGCCCAAAAATCCAAGGGCTAGGCCCAGGCTTATCCTTGGCCCAACACAAATAATTAATCGCAAATGAAGCCCAATCGGGACATAAGAAAAATTGTAGGACTCACCTACACGAGCTGTGGGTCACATATCACCCCAAGCATTCCTTCTGAAGTGATTGACAACTGGGGCATTAAATGCGCAGGTCAGTCGGTGCATTTAATGTTTTAAGCACGTCGTGCAGGCCATCATTGCCCAGCCTTACCCGAGGCGTCGCTTTGCCTCGTCAAATGAAACGACGGCCTCTGGACTTTTGACACGTCATCGTGCTTTCGAGCACGCTGTCAGAACGTTACGTCTCTCGAGAGAGCCACGCCCTGTTTTTGAATTCTAGCGCGAGTATAAAAACCCTGCCTTTCTTCATTTTTCTTCATGCCTTCAAAAAATCTGAATTCTAGCGCGAGTATAAAAACCCTGCCTTTCTTCATTTTTCTTCATGCCTTCAAAAAATCCTTAAGTTCATGCTCTTCAAAAATTCACTCTGACCTCCCCAGTTTTCTCAGCCTTCTTTCTCCAATTCTGAAACCTTTCCATCACTTAGTGACCTTTCTTTGATTCCTGGGCTTCATCCTTCTTCATTTCAACCTGCTCTGATGGCCCTTATTGTAGCCCTTCCAAAGCCAGGGAGCCACATCTGCTGAATCTTACGACTTGGTAGTTTGGCCTAGTCCAGATGGCTCCTCCTCTCCTGCTGTCCACCAATCGCCTTTCGTCCTGGAAAGTCGACGTGAGCCAAAACCAAGATGCGGCCGAGGTTCCTTCCCAGCCCTGGAGGAAGATGACCTCCCTCCCTGTGAGGCCGAGGAGGAACTGCAATGCGACTGATGAAGATGGGAAGGCCTGGTATGATGACCCCAACATGGCCGTGTTTATTCGGCTGATTACCCTGGTTGCATCCATGGCCGGAGTGACGGCCCTTATCATGGCCGGAGTGACGGCCCCTACCAAGGCCAGAATAACGGCCGCTTACCATGGCCAGAGTGACGGCCCTTACCATGGCCTGAGTGACGGCCCCTACCATGGCCAGAATAATGGCCGCTTAC